ACGATTTTATCACGATATGACGATTATTGATATATTGGTCAGAAATACACAATATGCCAATTTATGGCATAAATAAAAGAAAAATTACACTTTATTTCATGATAAATTGAATGGAGATGCGTAATGTAGCCATATATTAAGTATTGATACCAATTCAAAAATAATAATTCGTAACCAAAAAAAAAACTTGGCAAATGCATATCGATAAGCGAATCGCGGGAGAAAGTATTGCGATATATCGAAAAATCAATATATCGTCACACCCCTACTCTCTATGGTCTCTCTCTCCTGTCTCTCTCTGATCTCTCTCTGGTCTCTCTCTGGTCTCTCTGGTCTCTCTCTGGTCTCTCTCTGGTCTCTCTCTGGTCTCTCTGGTCTCTCTCTGGTCTCTCTCTGGTCTCTCTCTGGTCTCTCTCTGGTCTCTCTCTGGTCTCTCTCTGGTCTCTCTCTGGTCTCTCTCTGGTCTCTCTCTGGTCTCTCTCTGGTCTCTCTCTGGTCTCTCTCTGGTCCAAAAATGTGAAAACTAGTAATAGAAGCAAACTTAAGGGCAGAGTGGTTGGCTGAAAGTTACATATCCCAGCTTTAAAGTTACATACCCCCAGTTCAGGACCAGGACCAGGACCTCTCACTGTCATAGAGCGTTGGTTGCCAGGTAACGACTACTTCAGAATATAGCATATAAATGAATGGAGAGAGGTTTGTAAGAATGCAGGTATACGGCTGTCTCCCTCTCTCTCTCCCCCTCTGTCTCTCCTTCTGTCTCCCCTTCTGCCTCCCCCTCTGCCTCCCCCTCTGTCTCCCTCTCTCTCTCCCCCTCTGTCTCTCCTTCTGTCTCCCCTTCTGCCTCCCCCTCTGCCTCCCCCTCTGTCTCCCCCTCTGTCTCTCCTTCTGTCTCCCCTTCTGCCTCCCCCTCTGCCTCCCCCTCTGTCTCCCCCTCTGTCTCCCCTTCTGTCTCCCCCTCTGTCTCCCCTTCTGTCTCGCCCTCTGCTCTCCCCCTCTGCCTCCCCTCTGTCTCCCACTCTGTCTCTCCTTCTGTCTCCCACTCCTGCCTCCCCTTCTGTCTCCCACTCTGTCTCTCCTTCTGTCTCCCCCTCTGCCTCCCCCTCTGCCTCCCCCTTCTGCCTCCCCTCTGTCTCCCCCTCTGTCTCCCCTTCTGTCTCCCCCCTCTGTCTCCCCTTCTGTCTCCCCCTCTCTTCTGTCTCCCCTCTTGCCTCCCCTTCTGCCTCCCCCTCTGCCTCCCCCTCTGCCTCCCCTTCTGTCTCCCTTCTGTCTCCCACTCTGTCTCTCCTTCTGTCTCTCCTTCTGTCTCCCCCTCTGCCTCCCCTCTGTCTCCCCTTCTGTCTCCCCCTCTGCCTACCCTTCTGTCTCCCCTCCTGTCTCCCACTCTGTCTCTCCTTCTGTCTCTCCCTCTGCCTCCCACTCTGTCTCCCTTCTGTCTCCCCCTCTGCCTCCCCTTCTATCTCCCCCTCTGCCTCCCCTTCTGTCTCCCCCTCTGCCTCCCCCTGTCTCCCTTCTGTCTCCCCCTTTGCCTCCCCCCTCTGCCTCCCCTTCTTCCTCCCTCTCTGTCTCCCCCTCTGCCTCCCCCTGTCTCTCCTTCTGTCTCCCCCTCTGCCTCCCCTTCTGTCTCCCCCTATGTCTCCCCCTCTGTCTCCCTCTCTGTCTCACCTTCTGTCTCCCCCTCTGTCTCCCCCTCTGTCTCCCTCTCTGTCTCACCTTCTGTCTCCCCCTATGTCTCCCCCTCTGTCTCACCTCTGTCTCTCCTTCTGTCTCTCCTTCTGTCTCCCCCTCTGTCTCCCCCTAAGTAAGTAAGTAAGTAAGTAAGTAAGTAAGTAAGTAAGTAAGTAATGTTTATTTATATACCGCCTTTCACAGACCAGAGTCACAAAGCGGTTTACAATTGTTATTTTTGGGCACTTGTCTCTCACTCCACACAGAGATGGGAGCGGGGTCGCCGAACAGGAGGCGCATGCAAGACCTATTGTACATATTTTTAGTGGTAGGGGAAACCGGAGTACCCGGAGGAAACCTACGCAGACACGGGGAGAACATGCAAACTCCACTCAGAAAGGCCCTTGTCCGGCCGGGATTCGAACCAAGGACCTTCTTGCTTCTGTCTCCCCCCAGACTCAGGAAGTGTGTTTCTCCCATTAGGACATGATGCTCACGTGAAGCAGTAAATCACTGCGACTGCTGCTCCACAGAGTGGTGTTCTCTGCCTCATGTTAAAGCTGGCCTGGGGTACGTAACTTTAAAGCTGGGGTACGTAACTTTAAAGCTGGGGTACGTAACTTTAAAGCTGGGGTACGTAACTTTAAAGCTGGGGTACATAACTTTAAAGCTGGGGTATGTAACTTTAAAGCTGGGGTACGTAACTTTAAAGTTGGGGTACGTAACTTTAAAGCTGGGGTACGTAAACTTTAAAGCTGGGGTACGTAACTTTAAAGCTGGGGTACATAACTTTAAAGCTGGGGTATGTAACTTTAAAGCTGGGGTACGTAACTTTAAAGTTGGGGTACGTAACTTTAAAGCTGGGGTACGTAACTTTAAAGCTGGGGTACGTAACTTTAAAGCTGGGGTACATAACTTTAAAGCTGGGGTATGTAACTTTAAAGCTGGGGTACGTAACTTTAAAGCTGGGGTATGTAACTTTAAAGCTGGGGTACGTAACTTTAAAGCTGGGGTACGTAACTTTAAAGCTGGGGTACGTAACTTTAAAGCTGGGGTACGTAACTTTAAAGCTGGGGTACGTAACTTTAAAGCTGTGGTACGTAACTTTAAAGCTGGGGTATGTAACTTTAAAGCTGGGGTACGTAACTTTAAAGCTGGGGTACGTAACTTTAAAGCTGGGGTACGTAACTTTAAAGCTGGGGTACGTAACTTTAAAGCTGGGGTACATAACTTTAAAGCTGGGGTATGTAACTTTAAAGCTGGGGTACGTAACTTTAAAGCTGGGGTATGTAACTTTAAAGCTGGGGTACGTACTTTAAAGCTGGGGTACGTAACTTTAAAGCTGGGTTACGTAACTTTAAAGCTGGGGTACGTAACTTTAAAGCTGGGGTACGTAACTTTAAAGCTGTGGTACGTAACTTTAAAGCTGGGGTATGTAACTTTAAAGCTGGGGTATGTAACTTTAAACGTAACTTTAAAGCTGGGGTATGTAACTTTAAACGTAACTTTAAAGCTGGGGTATGTAACTTTAAAGCTGGGGTACGTAACTTTAAAGCTGGGGTATGTAACTTTAAAGCTGGGGTACGTAACTTTAAAGCTGGGGTACAGTATGTAACTTTCAGACCACACTAATGTCACATCTTTAGATCCACTTTCTCAGAAAGAAAAGTTAAAAAGAGAGACCTGAGAGAGACCAGAGAGAGACCAGAGAGAGACCAGAGAAAGACCAGAGAGAGACCAGCGAGAGACCAGAGAGAGACCAGAGAGAGACCAGAGAGAGACCAGAGAGAGACCAGAGAGAGACCAGAGAGAGACCAGAGAGAGACCAGAGAGAGACCAGAGAGAGACCAGAGAGAGACCAGAGAAAGACCAGAGAGAGACCAGAGAGAGACCAGAGAGAGACCAGAGAGAGACCAGAGAAAGACCAGAGAGAGACCAGAGAGAGACCAGAGAGAGACCAGAGAGAGAGACCAGAGAGAGACCAGAGAGAGACCAGAGAGAGACCAGAGAGAGACCAGAGAGAGACCAGAGAGACACAAAAGAAAACATTAACATTAAGATGAAGCATGTACTGACATTTTCTTTCAGCTCGTGTCTGCAGAAGGAAGAGTCAAAGAAGAAGTAAAACCATTTGATATTAAAGCTGAGGTACATAAGTTTAGTCCCACAAATAACACATGCAGTTTGTGAGTGAAGCGTGTGAAGAGTTTAGACTTCTGATGACTTTCCAAAACCTTTCAGTCAAACTTTGGATTTCGTCAGACAATAGTGACCACAGATAAACAGACTCAGGATGTGTGGGACTCACCTCTCTGTCCCAGGACCACATGTTGGGTCACGCTCAGAGCCCAGAGCAGCAGCAGCATGGTCAGTGTGTGGAGGAGGGAGGGTCCGGACCGGCTTTATACCTCTGTCAGAGAGGGAGGGAGGGGGGAGAGAGGAGAGGGGAGAGGAGGAGAGAGAGGAGAGAGGAGGAGAGAGAGGAGAGAGGAGGAGAGAGAGGGGAGGGAGGGGGGAGAGAGGAGGAGGGGAGAGGAGGAGAGAGAGGAGAGAGGGTCTGGACCAGCTTTATACCTCTGTCAGAGAGGGAGGGAGGGGGGAGAGAGGAGAGGGGAGAGGAGGAGAGAGAGGAGAGAGGAGGAGAGAGAGGAGAGGGGAGAGGGGGAGAGAGGAGGAGAGAGGAGGAGAGAGAGGAGAGAGGAGAGAGGAGGAGAGAGGGTCCGGACCGGCTTTATACCTCTGTCAGAGAGGGAGAGAGGGGAGAGGGGGAGAGAGGAGGAGAGAGAGGAGAGTAAGTAAGTAAGTAAGCTTTATTTATATACCGCCTTTTCACTGCAGATCTGAGTCTCAAAGCGGTTTACAATTGTTATTTTTGGGCATTTGTCTCTCACTCCACACAGAGATGGGAGCGGGGCCAGTACAGGAGGCACATGCCAGAACTATTGGACATATTTTTAGTGGTAGGGGAAACCGGAGTACCCGGAGGAAACCTACGCAGACACGGGGAGAACATGCAAACTCCACTCAGAAAGGCCCTGGTCCGGCCGGGATTCGAACCCAGGACCTTCTTGCTGAGAGGCGAGAGTGCTATCCACTCAGCCACCGTGCCGCCCGAGAGGGGAGAGGGGGAGAGGGGGAGAGAGGAGGAGAGAGGGTCCGGACCGGCTTTATACCTCTGTCAGAGAGGGAGGGGAGGGGACAGAGAGGAGAGGGGAGAGGAGGAGAGAGAGGAGGAGAGAGAGGAGAGGGGGAGAGGGGAGAGAGGAGGAGAGAGGAGGAGAGAGAGGAGAGGAGGAGAGAGAGGAGAGGGGAGGAGGGAGGGTCCGGGACCAGCTTTATACCTCTGTCAGAGAGGGAGGGAGGGGAGAGAAAGGAGAGGGGAAAGAGAGGAGAGGGGAGAGGAGGAGAGGGGGAGAGGAGGAGGAGGGAGAGGGGAGAGGAGGAGAGGGGAGAGGGGGAGAGGGGAGAGAGGACAGTGAGGAGAAAGGGAGAAAGGGAGAAAGGGAGAGAGGGAGAGAGGGAGAGAGGGAGAGAGGGAGAGAGGGAGAGAGAGGGGAGAGCGGAGAGGAGGAAGGAGGGTCAGGACCAGCTTTTATACCCCCTCTCTCCTCTGTCAGAGAGAAAGGGAGAAGAGAGAGAGGAGAGACAGGAGAGGGGAGAGAAGAGGAGAGAGGAAGATAGATGGGAGGGGGAGATAGAGGAGGAGAGAGAAACGAGAGAGAGACATATCCAAGAGAAAAGGAATACAATGAGATCTAGTGTGATTATTATGACGTGAAGCTAATGCTAATCCTGTTAGCAGCTAGCGGAGCATCGGTGAACAACAGTAAATACTAAATAAGTATTTGCATTTCCGCTGTTCAACAGATATATCAGGATATTACAAAACAAACAAGGCTGGTTTTAATGTTGTAGACGTGAGCAGGAGATAAACATAAGAATAAGACCAAGACATGTGTTTAAGTCTCAGATTCAAAGTCATGAACAATACTTTACAATTATAATACTTATTGAATCTTTATGCATACTACGGTGCATAACATGTTTTGGATGTAACTACAAGTCTCATATAAAAGGAATACACAGAGATTTACACTAATTTGGAACTACTTTCACTGTTTTTGTGCTAATCATGACAAGAAGCTAATGCTAATTCTGTTAGCAGCTAGTTAGCGGAGCTCCTCGTAGCAACAATGTGTGCTAACGTTAAACAGTGAGGGCATTACAATTGAACCGTTTTAAATATATATTTGGTTATCGTTTATATTGATACCATACCTGAAAAGAGGATGCAAAAACAGACAAGGACATGTCTTTTGAGTCTTTCTGGGGAACAAGGCCTGAAAGCTCAACGGCAAGTGTAAAGTGCCCCTGCAGGACACTCAGCGTTACTACAAATACACACTCTGGTCTCTCTGCTGTCTTTCTAGTCCCTCCCTGGTCTCTCTCTCTGGTTTCTCTCTCTGGTCTCTCGCTGGTCTCTTTCTGGTCTCCCTCTTGTCTCTCTAGCCTTTCTCTGGGGTCTCTCTCTGGTCTCTCTGGTCTCTCTCTGGTCTCTCTCGGGTCTCTCTCTGGTCTCTCTCTGGTCTCCCTCTGGTCTCTCTCTGGTGTCTCTATGGTCTCTTGCTGGTGTCTCTCTCTGGTCTCTCTTGTCACTCTAGTCTCTCTCTGGTCTCTCCCTGGTGTCTCTCTGGTCTCTTGCTGGTGTCTCTCTTTGGTCTCTCTTGTCACTCTAGTCTCTCTCTGGTCTCTCTCTGGTCTCTCTCTGGTCTCCCTCTGGTCTCTCTCTGGTGTCTCTATGGTCTCTTGCTGGTGTCTCTCTCTGGTCTCTCTTGTCACTCTAGTCTCTCTCTGGTCTCTCTCTAGTCCCTGGTACTTGCGGCATGACTGTAGACGACTTATTTTGAATTTTACAAAGGTCTCTTCACATTTGTTTTTAGTTTGGACAATGCTCCCAGGGCTTCATGGTCGATCTCCTTGTACAACTGAACTGAATTGAATTGAATACACATTTTTAGAATATCCTTGATGTTTGGTGTGGTCTGCAGCTCGTAGCTTCTGTTCGGGGGAAGGACCCAAACGTGTGTCGACAAACGGAGTAGATCAGTGTTTGTGGCGTAACGAGAGCAGCAGATGTGCATTCCTCTGAGCAGCTACAGCTCACTTCCAGATAGTTGAAGGTTTCCCAGAATCCCACAAATTCACGACTGAAACAGGAAATTAACAGTATGTAACGGTAAAAGCAAGAAAGGTATATTTATCTACTGTGGTTTAAAATGCTCTGCTGTTGTTTAAAAGCAGATGAGAACGGTATTGACAAGATTTTAACATTAGCAGTCTGTCATTTGAAAAAAACAATGTAATTGTGGCAAACTGGACTGAAAGCAACAATGTTTGTGTCCAGTAGAGGGGGCTAAGGTCTGCCCCAGGTCTCTCCAAGATGTCTGCCCCTGGTCTGTCCAAGATGTCTGCCTCAGGTCTCTCCAAAATGTCTGTCCCTGGTCTCTCCAAGATGTCTTCCCCAGGTCTCTCCAAGATGTCTGCCTCTGGTCTCTCCAAGATGTCTTCCCCAGGTCTCTCCAAGATGTCTGCCCCTGGTCTCTCCAAGATGTCTGCCCCTGGTCTCTCCAAGATGTCTGCCGCTGGTCTCTCCAAGATGTCTGCCCCTGGTCTCTGGAAGATGTCTCCAAAATACTCTAAACAATGGAGTCTGTCCATCTGTAAAATGTAATATTGTCCACACAGAGCTGCTTCAGCCTCAGCGTCTTCTACCAGAAAGGACCAACACTTCTGCTGATCTTATAAAAACAAAACATAATTTAATTTCGGGTTAAAATGCAAAATAATGTATGTTACTAACCTTTGCACTGAGTAAGTATCACATTACAGTATTCACAGTACTGTAGTATCCCATTACTCCTGACACTCGTGCTCTCAGTCTGTGTGAGGCCCCAGTCCCCTCAGAGTCCGTGAACATGGTTTACAGCCTGTGAACTGTTTTACTGCGGTCACATGTGGTCCGACCTCTGACCTCTGACCTCTGCAGTCTCCTCAGTCATGTGACCTAACAGCTCAACATCTATACACCAGAGTGATCCTTATACCTGGTCTCGCTGTGGTCTCTCTGGTTTCTTCATGGTCTCTGTCGGAGTAATACTTATACCAGAGTAATACCACATAGAGACAGGACTGTTGGCCCATTCCTCTTTACAAAACAAGAGAGTGTTTGTGAAGAACCGCAGCTCTGAACTTGGATCTACAGCCTCAGTCCTGGGTCTACCAGCCTCAGTCCTGGGTCTACAGCCTCAGTCCTGGGTCTACAGCCTCAGTCCTGGGTCTACAGCCTCAGTCCTGGGTCTACAGCCTCAGTCCTGGGTCTACAGCCTCAGTCCTGGGTCTACAGCCTCAGTCCTGGGTCTACAGCCTCAGTCCTGGGTCTACAGCCTCAGTCCTGGGTCTACAACCTCAGTCCTGGGTCTACAGCCTCAGTCCTGGTTCTACAGCCTCAGTCCTGGGTCTACAGCCTCAGTCCTGGGTCTACAGCCTCAGTCCTGGGTCTACAGCCTCAGTCCTGGGATCTAGAGCCTCAGTCCTGGGTCTACAGCCTCAGTCCTGGGTCTACAGCCTCAGTCCTGGTTCTACAGCCTCAGTCCTGGGTCTACAGCCTCAGTCCTGGGTCTACAGCCTCAGTCCTGGGTCTACAGCCTCAGTCCTGGGTCTACAGCCTCAGTCCTGGGTCTACAGCCTCAGTCCTGGGTCTACAGCCTCAGTCCTGGGTCTACTGCCTCAGTCCTGGGTCTACTGCCTCAGTCCTGGGTCTACAGCCTCAGTCCTGGGTCTACAGCCTCAGTCCTGGGTCTACAGCCTCAGTCCTGGGTCTACAGCCTCAGTCCTGGATCTAGAGCCTCAGTCCTGGGTCTACAGCCTCAGTCCTGGGTCTACTGCCTCAGTCCTGGGTCTACAACCTCAGTCCTGGGTCTACCGGCCTCAGTCCTGGGTCTACAGCCTCAGTCCTGGTCTAGTAGAAATGGCCTGCTCTGAGCTCAGCAGCTTCTTCACATGTTTCTGTGTAAAAAACTCAAATAAAACACGTTCACAGAGTTTGTCCGACTTTATTCAAATCGTCTTCGTGTAAAAATCCTTTTCACATAAAGTTTAGTTCACGTTCTGTAAAGTTTCACCCAAAAGAGACACTTATGATGTTGTAATAATCTCCCACCGATCGCTACAAGAAGTGGGCGGGGCCAGGTGAGAAGTGAAACGCGGATTCTCTCAGGACCACGATAATATGTCTCCTTTGTGTTCAGAACTTTGTGATGTTATTTTTATATTTTCACTTTCTTTGTAAAACGTCCAAAAGTAGGTGTTGAATGTCCAGGGTTTATGTACAGGAAGCACCAGGTCTGTCCAACAGGAAGAGCCTTATATGGAAACAACATCGAAGGCCTCTTGCCCAAATAAGGAAAAGGGAAGTCCTGTCATGTGACCGCGAGGGATGAGGCGAGATCACACACGAGAAAATCTGACCGGAGACCAGAGAGAGAGAGATCAGAGAGAGACCAGAGGGAGACCAGAGAGAGACCAGAGAGAGATCAGAGGGAGACCAGAGAGAGAGAGATTAGAGAGAGACCAGAGAGAGAGAGAGAGATCAGAGAGACACCAGAGAGAGACCAGAGAGAGAGACCAGAGAGAGACCAGAGAGAGAGATCAGAGAGAGAGAGAGATCAGAGAGACACCAGAGAGAGACCAGAGAGAGAGACCAGAGAGAGACCACAGAGAGAGATCAGAGAGAGACCAGAGAGAGACCAGAGAGAGAGAGAGATCAGAGGGAGACCAGAGAGAGAGAGATCAGAGAGAGACCAGAGAGAGAGAGATCAGAGAGAGATCAGAGAGAGACCAGAGAGAGAGACCAGAGAGAGAGAGATCAGAGAGAGACCAGAGAGAGAGAGATCAGAGAGAGAGAGAGATCAGAGAGAGACCAGAGAGAGAGATCAGAGAGAGACCAGAGAGAGAGAGAGATCAGAGAGAGACCAGAGAGAGAGAGAGATCAGAGAGAGACCAGAGAGAGAGAGAGATCAGAGAGAGACCAGAGAGAGAGAGATCAGAGAGAGACCAGAGAGAGAGAGACCAGAGAGAGACCAGAGAGAGACCAGAGAGATCAGAGAGAGGGACTAGAGAGAGATCAGAAAGAGACCAGAGAGAGACCAGAGAGATCAGAGAGAGGGACTAGAGAGAGATCAGAAAGAGATCAGAGAGAGACCAGAGAGAGAGAGATCAGAGAGAGACCAGAGAGAGAGAGATCAGAGAGAGACCAGAGAGAGAGAGATCAGAGAGAGATCAGAGAGAGAGATCAGAGAGAGGGACTAGAACGAGAGATAAGAGAGAGAGAGATCAGAGAGAGAGGCTGAAAAGAGACCAGAGGGAGAAAGGTGAGAGAAGGAGACCAGAGAGAGAGAACAGAGAGACCAAGGAGAGACCAGAAAGAGACCAAAGAGAGAGGTTAGAGAGACCAGAAAGAGACCAGAGAGAGACCAAAGAGAGACCAGAGAGAGACCAGAGAGAGACCAGAGAGAGACCAGAGAGAGACCAGAGAGATTCTGCGGTGGACTCTGCGGTGCATGGAGCAGGTCTCCTCCCTGCGCTCAGGCCTTTGTGCTCTCACTCGGCCTTCTTGGTTTTGCGTTTGCGGACGCCTTCGCTCAGCTCGTCCTTGGCCTTCAGCGGCGAGGCGGGGGCAGGGTGGTGCTCCTCCTCTCCCCCCAGAGGAGACCCGAAGAGGAGGTGACAGACCCAGGACTCCACCAGCGCGAAGGGAGAGCCGTGAGAGTGTCGCGCCGTCATCACCACCTGCACTCACACAAACACAGAGGTATTAACTTTAGAGTGTTAAACAGATACCATGAAGTTTGTGCAACAGAAGAGTCTAGGTCTTTCCGGGCTCTCTCTGGTCTTTCTGGTCTCCCTGGTCTCTCTCTGGTCTCTCTAAGGCTCCCCTTTGGTCTCTCTCTGGTCTCTCTCTGGTGTCTCTCTGGTGTCTCTCTGGTCTCTCTCTGGTCTCTCTGGTCTCTCTCTGGTCTCTCTGGTCTCTCTCTGGTCTGTCTCTGGTCTGTCTCTGGTCTCTCTCTGGTCTCTCTCTGGTCTCTCTGGTCTCTCTCTGGTCTGTCTCTGGTCTGTCTCTGGTCTCTCTCTGGTCTCTCTCTGGTCTCTCTCTGGTCTCTCTCTGGTCTCTCTCTGGTCTCTCTCTGGTCTCTCTCTGGTCTCTCTCTGGTCTCTCTCTGGTCTCTCTGGTCTCTCTCTGGTCTTTCACAGGTCTTTCTCAGGTCTCTCTGATCTTTCTCTGGTCTCTCTGGTCTCTCTCTGGTCTCTCTCTGGTCTCTCTCTGGTCTCTCTCTGGTCTCTCTCTGGTCTCTCTCTGGTCTCTCTCTGGTCTCTCTCTGGTCTCTCTCTGATCTTTCTCTGGTCTCTCTCTGGTCTCTCTCTGGTCTCTCTCTGGTCTCTCTGGTCTGTCTCTGGTCTCTCTCTGGTCTCTCTCTGGTCTCTCTGGTCTCTCTCTGGTCTCTCTCTGGTCTTTCTCAGGTCTCTCTGATCTTTCTCTGGTCTCTCTCTGGTCTGTCTCTGGTCTGTCTCTGGTCTCTCTCTGGTCTCTCTCTGGTCTCTCTCTGGTCTCTCTGGTTTCTCTCTGGTCTGTCTCTGGTCTGTCTCTGGTCTGTCTCTGGTCTCTCTCTGGTCTCTCTCTGGTCTCTCTGGTCTCTCTCTGGTCTGTCTCTGGTCTGTCTCTGGTCTCTCTGGTCTGTCTCTGGTCTCTCTCTGGTCTCTCTCTGGTCTCTCTCTGGTCTCTCTCAGGTCTCTCTCTGGTCTCTCTGGTCTCTCTCTGGTCTCTCTCTGGTCTCTCTCTGGTCTTTCTCAGGTCTCTCTGATCTTTCTCTGGGTTCTCTCTGGTCTCTCTGGTCTCTCTCTGATCTTTCTCTGGTCTCTCTCTGTTCTCTCTCTGGTCTCTCTCTGTTCTCTCTCTGGTCTCTCTGGTCACTTCCTGGTCCCTCTGGTCTTGCTAGTCTTGCTGGTACCTTGGAGGTGGCCATGAAGAGGGTGAAGCCCAGGATCAATGAGCTCTTGGCCACAGGGAGGAGATGCGCCTCCTGCAGCGTGAAGAGGATGGCCCCGTACAGACTGGCTTTAGTCGGGCTGGAACAGAGAGACAGGTGAGGAGGGGGGAGGAAGGGGAGAGAGGAGGAGGAAGGGGGAGAGCAGAGGGGGAGAGAGGAGGGGGGAGAGAGTAGGGGGGAAGGCAGAGGTGGGGGACTCACAATGACATGTGCAGGATCTCGTTGGTCTCTGGTCTCCAGACTCCACGCAGCAGCTGCTCAAAGTTCGACATCAGAGCCACTCCAGACCCTGAGGAGACACACACATTCAAATACACACAAACACACACACATAGAGACACAGACATACATACACACACACACACATAGAGACACATACACACACACACACATAGAGACACACACGCACACACACAGAACGTCAGTGCCCTCTGGTGGTGGGACTGCACACATGCAGATCTGTCCAATGTTGAAGTGAAAAACTTTGCAGAGCCAAAGCAATTTCCTAGATTGAAACTTCTCGTTACTCACATGGTAATTAAAGGCACACCGTGTAACTCTTGGCCACTAGGGGCGCTAGACCTGCAACTTTCACGTTTAGCGCCCCTAGTGGCCACAAGCAACTCAGCACTGTCGCAAAAGTCAAACAGTCAGCCGGTGTCTTTTGAGTGTGTATTCAGACAGCATGCACTGGTGTGTGTGTTCAAACTGTAGAGACATGCCTACAGATATTGAGAGACTCTGCTGTGGTCAGCCTCCAGACCGCTGCATTAGTAATCTACCACACATGGACTTCTATATCCTGGATGAGGGAGTTCTGCGTCTAGCTCGTGCTGCGTGGAATGACATCTTTGCAGTCGATGACATCCAGGAACCAGGTGAAGAGCAGCGCTCATACAGACATGCAGCTTACAGCACGATCCCTTTCGCGTTTCCTCTTTTTAGCCTCCTCCGAAGGTTTAAAATTTTTCCTTGCCTCAGCCATGACCAGGAGTCGAGCAGGTGAAAAATGAGTAGCAAAAGCCTTAGCTCCATGAGTATATCAGCGCCTGTAGCCGTAAAGCAAGTCTTTCTTCCAAGTCACGTGACCTGGTGGCAGACGGTCCGTCTGCTCGAAAGTTACATGGGCGGTATTTCAAGAGGGCAGCCCCGCTCGGAGCATTGCAAGTGTCAAGCGCTGTATATTGGCCCAAGTATTCATATAAAATAACTCATATGTGTCAACTCTTTAGGTCACAAAGTCCGCGGTGTGCCTTTAAAGAATTCTGAAAATCTGATTAAAGCTGGGGTACGTAACTTTAGACTCATAGATAACGTTGTGTCTAACAGAAAGAGTGTCTTCTGTGTAAGAAAGAGCTGAAATATGTGGAAAGAAGAAAACTGTTCGAGGATTTAACACCACGGATTTTATGAGAGTTCTGTTGGTGTGGTTTGAAAGTTACGTACCCCAGCTTTAAAGTCCCGTACCCCAGCTTTAAAGTCCCCTATCCCAGCTTTAAAGTCCCGTACCCCAGCTTTAAAGTCCCGTACCCCAGCGTTAAAGTCCCCTACCCCAGCTTTAAAGTCCCGTACCCAAGCTTTAAAGTCCCCTACCCCAGCTTTAAAGTCCCCTACCACAGCGTTAAAGTCCCATACCCCAGCTTTAAAGTCCCATACCCCAGCTTTAAAGTCCCGTACCCAAGCTTTAAAGTCCCCTACCCCAGATTTAAAGTCCCGTACCCAAGCTTTAAAGTCCCCTACCCCAGATTTAAAGTCCCCTACCCCAGATTTAAAGTCCCGTACCCAAGCTTTAAAGTCCCCTACCCCAGATTTAAAGTCCCCTACCCCAGATTTAAAGTCCCCTACCACAGCGTTAAAGTCCCATACCCCAGCGTTAAAGTCCCCTAACCCAGCTTTAAAGTCCTGTACCCCAGCTTTAACCCAGCTCTAACCTTTGACGTATCCGGTGATGACCATGATGAGGAAGCCGTGGTGGTAGGCGTGGTGGGCGTGGTGAACTCCGGCCGCGATCTTCCGGGTTCGAACCACCTCCTTCAGAGCCACCAGCACCAGCTTCACCGGGAGCAGAGACACCGCCTTATAGAAGAGGTTCAGCGGGCAGAAGAAGACCAGGTACCTGAGGGAGGGAGGGAGGGGAGGCGGGAAGACGGGGAGAGGAAGAGAGGAAGGGAGGAGGGGTAAAGAAGGAGGAGATTAGGGGAAGAGGAGGAAGAATGGAGGAGGAGAGGAGGGGTTAGGAGGAGGAGTGGAGGAGAGGTGAGGGGTGGATGCAGGTGAGAGAGGAGGACGAGAGGGAGGGGAGAAGAGAGGAGGAGAGGGGGGAGAGCAGAAGAGAGGGTAGAAGAAGAGAAGGGGTGCAGGGGAGGAGATGGGAGAGGAAGAGAGAAGAGAGGGGGAGGTGCAGGGGAGGAGGAGAAAAGGAGGGGAGGAGAGGAGAGAGCAGAAGGGGAGAGAATAAGGAGAGGAGGAGAGGGAGGGGAGAAACATGGTTTTAGAGACATGATACTGTCCCAACCATAGACACTTTATAATATGTTCTGATCCAGGACTGAGGCTGCAGATCCAGGACTGAGGCTGTAGATCCAGGACTGAGGCCGGTAGACCCAGGACTGAGGGTGTAGATCCAGGACTGAGGCCGGTAGACCCAGGACTGAGGGTGTAGATCCAGGACTGAGGCCGGTAGACCCAGGACTGAGGGTGTAGATCCAGGACTGAGGCTGTAGACACAGGACTGAGGCTGTAGACCCAGGACTGAGGCTGTAGATCCAGGACTGAGGCTGTAGATCCAGGACTGAGGCCGTAGACCCAGGACTGAGGGTGTAGATCCAGGACTGAGGCTGTAGACCCAGGACTGAGGGTGTAGACCCAGGACTGAGGCTGTAGACCCAGGACTGAGGCTGTAGACCCAGGACTGAGGCTGTAGACCCAGGACTGAGGCTGTAGACCCAGGACTGAGGCTGTAGACCCAGGACTGAGGCTGTAGACCCAGGACTGAGGTTGTAGACCCAGGACTGAGGCTGTAGAACCAGGACTGAGGCTGTAGACCCAGGACTGAGGCTGTAGACCCAGGACTGAGGCTGTAGACCCAGGACTGAGGCTGTAGACCCAGGACTGAGGCTGTAGATCCAGGACTGAGGCTGTAGACCCAGGACTGAGGCTGTAGACACAGGACTGAGGCTGTAGATCCAGGACTGAGGCCGGTAGACCCAGGACTGAGGGTGTAGATCCAGGACTGAGGCTGTAGACCCAGGACTGAGGCTGTAGACCCAGGACTGAGGCTGTAGACCCAGGACTGAGGCTGCAGATCCAGGACTGAGGCTGTAGACCCAGGACTGAGGCTGTAGACCCAGGACTGAGACCGTAGACCCAGGCTCCTCTGCTGTTAGAAGCAGTGCTAACCGCTCACCAGACAGCGGAGGCCAGCAGGATGTGGCTGTTGTGTTGGAAGTAGTCCAGAGGGCTGTGTCCCAGGACCACGTCGGCCAAGATGTAGCTCCCAAAGCAGTAAAGCATCGCACTGAGCCACGACGCCACGGGACTGCGACGAGACACCTCCACCGCACCTGCAACAGAGGCGTGTTTTTAGACCCGCGTCGGCTTTTCACCCCGGAGGGCAGGAGAGAGACCAGAGAGAGACTAGAGAGAGACCAGAGAGAGACCAGAGACCAGAGAGAGACCAGAGAGAGACCAGAGAGAGACTAGAGAGAGAGAGAGAGAGAGAAAGAGAGAGAGACCAGAGAGAGACCAGAGAGAGACCAGAGAGAGGGACCAGAGAGAGACCAGAGAGAGACCAGAAATGAAATGTAGAAACATTATTCTCAATGTTGTGTTTCAGGCTCTTCTTTCATGTTTCCATTTCTTGTGCAGCTGATCTCTATGATCTGGAGGTTTTTATCTTTCCTGTGAGACACAACCGACACACATATACACACACACACACACACACACACACACACACACACACACACACACACACACACACACACACACACACACACACACACACACACACACACACACACACACACACACACACACACACGCAAACACACACATGTGTATTTAATACAAACACCAGGACTCAAGTTGGTCTAAGTCCCTAAGAGTCAAACTTTAACTTTGTGTCCAGGAAAACAGCGAAAGAAGACATAATGGATTTAAAATAATTCATAATATTCCATTCATAAATAAATGCTCTTAATATGGAGCCCTCACACATCTTTATCTGTCACACACACACACAACACACACACACACACACACACACACACACACACACTCACACACTGATTATGATAAGACCTACGCCCTCTGCAAACATGCTCCTGATAACTACTAGGAGAGAGACCAGAGAGAGACCAGAGAGAGACCAGAGAGAGACCAGAGAGAGAGACCAGACAGAGACCAGAGAGAGACCAGAGAGAGACCAGAGAGAGAGACCAGACAGAGACCAGAGAGAGAGACCAGACAGAGACCAGAGAGAGACCAGACAGAGACCAGACAGAGACCAGAGAGAGACCAGACATAGACCAGAGAGAGAGACCAGACAGAGACCAGAGAGAGACCAGACAGAGACCAGAGAGAGACCAGACAGAGACCAGAGAGAGAGACCAGACAGAGACCAGAGAGAGAGACCAGACAGAGACCAGAGAGAGACCAGACAGAGACCAGAGAGAGAGACCAGAGAGAGACCAGAGAGAGAGACCAGACAGAGACCAGAGAGAGAGACCGGAGAGAAACAAGAGAGAGACCAGGGAGAATAAAGAGAGAGAGAGAGAGTAGAGAGAGAGTAGAGAGACCAGAGAGAGACCAGAGAGAGACACCAGAGAGAGACCAGAGAGAGACACCAGAGAGAGACCAGAGAGAGACCAGAGAGAGACCAGAGAGAGACCAGAGAGAGACCAGAGAGAGACCAGAGAGTGTTCTTATAAGGTCAGACCTACATTTTGTGGTCTGATTTGAGAACTCATGCTGTTCAAACTCCATGTGTTGTATGTGAGGCTAAAGTTACAGACCTGAGCTTTAACAGAAACAGCAGACTTTGTGAATGGAGGTGTCAGAGAGTGAGAGTATTGTTGGAGTAATGGTGTCTGCAACAGGTGGAGGCTTTACTGAAGGAAACACGAGCTCTACATGTGCTGCCTATAAATACTGCAGACAGGAAGGACACAGGACAGAGAGAGGTAGTAGTACTAGTAGTAGTAGTAGTAGGAGTAGCAGTAGTAGTAGCAGTAGTAAGGCAAGGCAAGGCAAGTTTATTTATATAGCACAATTCATACACAAGGCAACTCAAAGTGCTGAACAAGAAAGCATTAAAATAAATAATCACAGAACATTAAAAAGAAAGA